TGAGACACTGCTGTCAGAACTGCTCTGGTGTTTATGTCTGTGTTAAGTGATCCAACAGAGACGGTTTCTATCACTGAGCTCCATCTGTCTGGATCATCATTAGGCCAAATGGAAAAGGTCTGGGTAGGGGATTGGAGGTGGTCTCCTTTACAGCCACCAGGCGTCTCTGGATATTGAAAACCCGGCTAGACTTTAAGTGCTTCAGGCGCTCAGAGTAGGGATGGGAATTTGAAAGCAAATGTATATTCGAATATTCGACCCCCCATAAAACGGTTAACCGGTTAACCGAAATGTACATATCCTATAAAAAAAAATTGGGTAACATTTTTTTTTTCAGAATTTTTTTTTTACATTTTTTTTTTTTTACCCAATTTTTTTTCAAGAATTTTTTAGAAATACATACATGTTCAAATAAGTGTAGAAACCAAGTCGAATTTGTCAAATGTATTGAACTGGTGATCACAGTTTGACAGCTATAGGCCTACAGCTTTCATGTGTGGAGGCGATTCACAATCAGGCCAGCTGTAGAGAAGACCCTCTCAGCTGGAACGGAGGTTGCGGATATAGCAAGGTATATAGCATGTATAAATAAGTTTAATTTGGCATAGTTTGACCTCTACACCGCACTCACTAACCTGGTCGAAATATTTCCACACATTACTCCTTTTTGACGCCATGTCTGTTGTGTAGGACTCTTCTTAGAGTGTAAATAATTACCGGACTATGACTGGTAAAATATGTTGAATACCGGCAAAACTAAATATCTCCTGCACTTTGCCGCCACACACGGTTGCCAAGCAGCGCTTATTGTTGTTTAGGCTGGCCACTCATGTGTCGCGAGTGTTGACAGGGGGTGGGGGCTCATGAACTGTTAGCGCCGGAACCTCGCAACGGCTGCGGAGCTAATTTGCGCCACATTTGGGCCTAAGATGAGGTTTGAGTCTGCGTGTAGGGAGGGGCAGCAGCCATATCATTAGCTAGAACTAGCTAGAACTAGCTAGATCTGATGGATTTGGACATAAACGCGAGTGAAGTATAACCGGACACGAGAGAGAGAGATCAGCTCTGCCCGCTGTGAGGGACCGGTGAGCGGAGCAAAACACACCTTTAGACGTCACCTAACACATTTAGCTATGGCATAGTCGTATATATTGTAGTGCCGTGAAAAGAGAGTCGGAGGCGGTGTATTAAGAATGGAGTTCCAATCTTTATTATCCATTACTGTCAGAGAGGTTAACACATCAACTGCTCTGCCTGATGAGCTAGCAGGAATGGCAGCTAAAGCTACAGGTGTTCCCCACTAAAGGGTCCGTGTGGCAACACAATAAGCAAGGTGAATTATGTCCAATAACGTGTCACCACACAGGCCCCCCCAGAATTCACACATAAACAAAATCAGCATGGCGGGGAGGAACGACACGCCGACCCCCACGACTCCTGAGCACGGGAGTCGGAAAAGTGACTCCCGCCTGTGCGGCCCCCGGAAGGGGAGGGACCGGAACAACAGGTCTTAAATCCGTGACAGGGGACGAGGCCGGGGGGCGGCCCCGTCGCGGAGGTCGAGCCAGCACCACAGGCTGGTCCAAGTCCAGGTGAGCAGCCTTCACCCGGTCCACCGAGACGTGCTCGGCCTTGCCACCCAGGTCGACCACCAGGTGCTTGTCCCCGTGCTCCAAGACCCGGAAAGGCCCATCATAAGGGGGCTGCAGGGGGCCTCTGTGCGCATCGTGCCGGATGAACACGTGCTCCGCCGAGCGGAGCTCTGCGGGAACCTGGGACACCTGAGTACCGTGCTGAGTAGTAGGGATCGGAGCAAAGGCCTCAGCGGCGTCACGCAGGAAAGCCCGCTGGGCCGACACCGACCAGGGAGCCGATGCATTTGGGAGGAAATCCCCCGGAACTCTCAGCGGCTGACCGTAGACCATCTCCGCTGTAGAACACTGCAGATCTTCCTTAGGTGCGGTCCTCAGGCCCAGCATCACCCAGGGCAGCTTGTCGACCCAGTTACCTTGAGGGCCGCCTTCATGGAGCGATGAAAGCGCTCGCAGAGGCCGTTAGCCTGAGGGTGGTAAGCGGTAGTCCTGTGCAGCTTAACCCCCAAACCGCCTGCCACAGCGTTCCAGAGCTCGGACGTGAACTGAGAGCCCCTGTCTGAGGAAATGTCTGACGGGGTGCCAAAACGACACACCCACGTTGCAATGAAGGCCCGGGCAACGTCTGCGGCTGATGTCGAAACGAGCGGAACTGCCTCCGGCCAACGGGTCGTTCTGTCCACCATGGTGAGGAGGTAGGAAAACCCCTGAGAGGAAGGCAACGGACCAACCAGGTCAATGTTGACGTGATCAAACCTCCTCTCAGGCACCAGGAAACGCTCCAACGGGGCCTTCGTGTGGCGGTGCACCTTAGCGCGTTGACAAGCCACGCACTCCCTGGCCCAAGTCCTCACGTCCCTTTTCAGTCCTTGCCAAACGAACTTCGCCGCTACCAAACGCACCGAAGGTTTAACGCCGGGGTGTGACAGGCCGTGCACAGCCTCGAACACAGGACGCCTCCAGCTGGCAGGGACGACAGGCCGCGCCAGGCCCGTAGAGACGTCACACAGGAGAGTAATGCCCGCGTCGCCGAACACCACGTCCTCCAAGCGCAGCGCCGCGCTCTCCACCTTCAGGGCCTGGACGCCGGGATCTGTGACCTGGTCTGCCGCCATGCGAGTATAGTCCAGGCCCAACTGGACGGCACCGATGACGACCCTGGAGAGGCAATCAGCAACCAGGTTCGACTTGCCAGCCACGTGCTTAATGTCCGTAGTGAACTCCGATATGTAGGACAGCTGCCGCTGCTGACGTGCCGACCAAGGCTCCGCCACTTTTGACATGGCGAAGGTGAGCGGCTTGTGGTCGACAAACGCCGTAAATTCACGGCCTTCCAGCATGAAACGGAAGTGCCGCACGGCCAAATAAAGTCCGAGGAGCTCCGGGTCAAAGGCGCTGTATTTGCGTTCTCTAGGCGTCAGCTGGCGGCTGAAAAAGGCGAGCGGCTGCCAAGCGCCCTCCACCCACTGCTCGTGCACTGCGCCGACCGCGTAGTCTGACGCGTCCGTGGTGATGGAGATGGGAGCCGTAGATGATGGGTGTGCCAGCAAAGCCGCCTGAGCCAACGCGGTCTTGACCTCAGCAAAAGCGCCGTCCGCCTCTGCTGTCCAGTCGATCTCCTGGACGGGGGTCTTGCCTTTCAACGCTTCATACAGCGGCCGCATGATGTGTGCGGCCCGGGCGATGAAACAGTGGTAGAAAGTCACCATCCCCAGAAACTCACGGAGCGACCGGGCTGTGAGCGGGCGAGGAAACGCCGCAACAGCCTCCACCTTCGCTGGCAGAGGTGTCGCACCGCCCTTGGTGACGCGGTGCCCCAGGAAATCGATGTCCGACACCCCGAACTGGCACTTTGCAGGATTGATGATTAATCCGTGTTCGTTGGAGCCGTGTGAAAAGGGCTCGGAGGTGGGACAGGTGCTCCTGCACTGAAGCGTTGGCGACGAGTATGTCGTCGAGGTAAAACAAACACAAACGGCAGGTCCCGCGGGAACGTCTGAGCGGCATTCTTGAGTCCAAAAGGCATCCGCAGGAACTCAAAGTCCAAAAGGCGTTATCACTGCTGTCTTGGGAATGTCCAGGGGGTGCATGGGCACCTGGTGGTATCCATCCACGCACCAGGTCCACCTTGGAAAACACCCCCGTACCGGCCAGATGCGCCGAAAAGTCCTGAATGTGCGGCACTGGATAGCGTAGTGGCGTCGTTGAGTCGGCGGTAATCCCCGCACAGGCGGAACCCGCCGTTCGATTTGGGAACGACGTGCAGGGGGGAAGCCCAAGGACTGTCGGAGCGGCGGACAATGCCCAGGCGCTCCATGGTTGCGAACTCCGCCCTCGCTACAGCCAGCTTAGAAGGGTTCAACCGCCGGGCCCTGGCGTAGAGGCGGTAGTGACGTGGTGTTCCACGCCATGCTTAGTGGTAAGCGCAGAGAACGTGGGTAACGACAGGTCTGGAAACTCGGCCAACAGTCTGAGAAACGTGTCTGCACCTGACAGCGAGCCTGACAGCCCGTCGTACGCTGCGCTGCCAAGTGTGCACACGAGGGAAGAAAACGTTAAGGCATCAACCAAACGCCTATTCTTAACGTCCACTAAGAGTCCATGAGCACACAAAAAATCCGCTCCGAGGAGGGGAAAAGAAATGTCCGCTGTCACAAAATCCCAGCTGAAACGCTGTCCTCCGATGCACAAACACATAGGCCTCACGCCGTACGTGCGAATGGGACTGCCGTTAGCCGTCGTCAATCGCGGTCCGTGCCCCCCACGGGCGACGTCTTCACTCGACGCTGGAACTACGCTCCGCTGAGCGCCCGTGTCACACAGAAACAAGCTCCCCGAAACGCTGTCGCTGACTAAGAGGAGCCTGCACGTGCCCCTCCGTTTCCCGGGGGTTTGTAGCTAGACGGAGCGATGCATCTCTTCGCCCTTGTCCCGAAACGTGCGTGGTAAACGCACTCTCCGGCGTCTCCACGCCGGCTAGCCACAGCCGTGTCCGGCCTCCGCCACGCTTTCTTGACTGCCGGTGGGCCGCTGAGCGTCGCGGCTAACGTCTCTGCCCCGGGCTGTTGCGTAGCCAGGAAAAAACGATCCGCTTCCTCAGCCAAAGCACGGGGCTCCGTGACAGGCGTGTTGGCCAGCGCCGTCTGTACCCGGGGAGGCAAGTGACGCAGGAAAATCTCCGTGAATAAAATCCGGGGATCTTCCCCCCCCTAGAAGATTTAGCATTTTCTCCATTAGCTGGGATGGCTTGCTGTCTCCTAGGCCTTGAATGTCAAGTATCTGGCGGGCCCTCTCCTTAGCAGATAAGCTAAATGTCTTAAGGAGAAGGGCCTTAATCGCCTCATATTTGCCATGATGTGGGGGGGCTGCGATGAATCCCACCAACCTGGACGACGTGGAGCTCCCCAGCGCTGCTACCACATGGTAGTATTTTAGGTCCCCGTCACGGACCTGTCGGCAGGCGAAATGTGCCTCCACGTGTGCGAACCATGCCTCCGCGGCGTGCTCCCAGAATTCCGGCAGCTTTATGAAAAGCGTGACTCATTTAATTACAGACAGGCCAGTGTGCGAAAAAGTGCACGTCCCACCGTCCGGGACGGGTTATTCACAACATTGGACAAGTAGATTTTTAAATTGACTTGTCCAATGGACAAGTGACATTTTTCGCCGCTATTTATTGACAAATTATTGATAAATTCAGCTTACAAAAGGCATAACTCATTCGCAAATTGTCCGTGTCCGCCGTTGTTGTTTGCAACCGCTTTACGTTTTTTTACTCACTTACGTCGTGTCGTAAAACTGTGTGAAAATGAAATACGATGGCGAAGAAGAAGGTTCTAGTGGCCCCAAGAGGGCAACAAAAGATTTCTTTCTTTTCTAAGAAGGTTTGTACGGAAGAGGATTAGGGCCACATTTTCTTTTTTGGGAGAAAAAAAGTCAGAATTCTGACTTTAATCTCAGAATTCTGATTTTTTTCTCAGAACAAAAAAAAAATGTTTTTTTTTGGGAGAAAAAAAGTCAGAATTCTGACTTTAATCTCAGAATTCTGACTTTTTTCTCAGAACAAAAAAAAAACATTTTATTTGGGAGAAAAAAGTCAGAAATACCGGTAACTGTAGAACCAGCTTCACTGCGATTTACACATTGCAGATGGTTGTAAAATGACTTATTATGGTTTCCTCTTGGACCCCTCTGGCGCGCAGAAATGCACTCACGTCCTCCATTGTTGCCTACTGCAATGTGTAAATCGCAGTGAAGCTGGTTCTACAGTTACCGGTATTTCTGAGAAAAAAGTCAGAATTCTGAGATTAAAGTCCGAATTCTGAGATTAAAGTCAGAATTCAGATTTTTTTTCTCCCAAAAAAAAAATGTTTTTTTGTTCTGAGAAAAAAGTCAGAATTCTGAGATTAAAGTCAGAATTCTGACTTTTTTCTCCCAAAAAAAAAAATGTTTTTTTGTTTGAGAAAAAAATTAGAATTCTGTGATTAAAGTCAGAATTCTGAGATTAAAGTCAGAATTCTGACTTTTTTCTCAGAACAAAAAAAAAAGATTTTTTTTTTCAAATCCTCACAAAAAAATTTTTTATGTGGCCCTAATCCTCTTCCGTAGGTTTGTACACATCATTCTCACAGTTGTAAAATGGTGTGTTACATTAACAAGGAAAATAATTGAAATAAATTATGTCCGAAAATAGTGGATTAAGTGCTTGAAAGGGGACTTTTATTAATCCATTACATTACATTGCATTTAGCTGACACTTTTATCCAAAGCGATTTACAATCCCTGTGGGGAAATTCAGTAGGCAACAGGGTAAGGGTGAAAAACAGGACAGCACAGATTCACACAGGTTCATCAAATCAAAAATAAAATCGAAGATAAAAATTAAAATAATGAAAAACTATTAAATAAGAAATTAATAAAAATAATAATAAAAAAGGGGTAGACCTATGTAAAATACTTTTTTCTTTTAAAAGGGGGGGATTGAAAGGGGCTCTTTATGTACCAAGGGGCTTGAAAGGGGCATATCAAATTATTTCAGAAAAAAAACCCAAAAAATGCAGAAAGGTTTGTGGGGAGTCTACGAGTACCTAACATTCATGTTGACAAAAATCTATAATTTGTCTGCAAGAACAGGAGTCTGAACAACAGCCTGAACATGCTGAAACGAGCCCTCAGAAAGTCCCAGAGTGTGAGCAGAACGATGGCCCCCCCCAGTCACGAGAAAGTCTCTGCTAAAAGGCCATGTTCCGTTATCTCACCAATGGCTGGTCCATCTAAAAAGGCCAAGAGTGACATCGCCCTGACACCCAAGAGGAAAAGAACATTCATTGAGACTTGGAAAACCCAGTTTCCATGGGTAAGATGTGTGGACGACATCATGTTCTGTGAGGTCTGCAGAGAATATCCATCCATTGCTGACCACAGCAGTAAACTGTACGAGGGTGTCACAGGGTCAAAACGCATTGAGTCACTTCAGTCACACGAATCCAGCAAATATCACCTTCTCTGCATTCAAAGGAAAGAGGTCACAGAGAAAGGCACAGGGCCAATGTTTGTGGCTCTCAAGAAGCAGGCAGAAAATATGGACGACCAACTGAAACCCATGTTCAACACTGCGTTTTATGTCGCCAAACAAAAGTTGCCTTTCCGTTCATTTGAGGGCCTCATCGAACTTCAAGAGAAGAATGGCATTAAAATGCCTACACAGTACCGGAACGATAAGGGGTGCAAGGCATTTGTGCAGGCCATTGCAGAAGTCGAGAAGGACAGAGTTTCTGAAGACCTCAAGGCTTCAAGATTCTTCGCTCTGATGGGAGATGGATCCACGGATATATCTGTGACAGAACAGGAGAATGTATATGTTAGGTAATTATTATTTTGAATTCTTTTGTAAGTCTTATTTAAGTTACATTTTATCTCCAAAAGGGCCTTTTGTTTATGAGTAATTAATTCACAATCATTTTATTGATGAATTTTATTAGTTTAAATTTTCAGTTAACTTAAAAGTTTTTAACAGGTAAAGTATATACATAAATTGTTTAAAGCGAATGAAGGTGAAGTTGCTTTTTAGTGTTCTTAGTCTTAAAAAAAGGTGAAGGCAACACTGGTGTGGGAAGGTTTATATAAGATAATCATTTAAAAAAATGTTATTGCACTTTATTGATGTACTTTATTTATTTTCTATCTTCAGGTATGTCAAAGATGGACTTCCAGCGACAGAGTTCATTGACATCATGGCTGTAAAGTCAGCTGATGCTAATGGTGTTCTGGCAGCTCTCCTCGAGGCACTACATCATGTCGACCTAACAGATGGAGACATAAAGAAGAAAATAATAGGCTGCACATTTGATGGTGCCAGCGTTAACCAAGGTGCCAAGGGAGGAGTTATTGTGAAGTTGCGGGAATTGTTGGGGCATGTGCTCATTTCGATTTGGTGTGCTCCACATAAGCTGGAGCTGTCGCTCCTAGATGCCACCAAAGCCACTGACTTCATTGACATCGTAGAGAAAGGAGTGGACCCCATCTACAGATTCTACTATGGATCTGGTAAACGTAGGAGGGAGGTGAACGCCATATCAGCCGTTATAGACGAGGATCCTGTCTATTTCTCAGCACCCTGTGGCACTAGGTGGATGGCGTCAAGACTCCGGGCATACAAGGCTGTAATAAAAAATTACAACTCCGTCATCCTACACATGGAAGAGGCTTCAAACAGAAAAACAGACGAAGGAGCTAAGTGTGTGGGGTACTTGAAGGTACTGAAGTCTGCAAAGTTTGTTGATGGGCTCCACTTTATGGTAGATGTCTTGGAAGTGTTGGCCAACGTGAGTCTGGCATTCCAGAGTAATGATCTGTTCATTTATGATGTTGATGTAAAGTTGTGTGAGGCCAGGATCAAGTTGGAAGGCCTTAAGCATAATAGAGGTGATGTCTACACTGCCTACATGGCAACCTGCAAGGATGGCAAGTTTGACAGTAAGAGCAATGGACACATCACTTCACTGAAAGGAACAGGTATTCCAGAAACAGTGAAGAATTCCTTCTTGGAGAATTGTGTGAAGTTCCTAGAGAAGAGATTTTCCTTCCTGAAGGATACCCCTTTCAGTGATTTCCATGTTCTTGACCCCAGGAACGTCCCAAGATCAGACGCACAACTAGCTACATATGGTGATGTTCAGGTTATGAACATGGTGACCCACTTCGAGTCCGTTCTCAGTGAGGAGGAGGTAATAATAATAATAATAATTTCAATTTATATAGCGCCTTTCACGAAACCCAAGGACGCTTTACAATGGGAAGTAACAAAACAAAAAGTAATAATAAAGAGACATAGGCTGAAGAAAACAGGAACAGGTTGCTGAGTACTGTATATTAGTTGAGGCCAAAGGCCTGAGTGAACAGATGGTAACCAACATCCCTAGACAGTGGCCAGCTCTCAAGGCCAGACTGAAGTACAGGCAGAGGCAGCCCGCCAAGGAGGTCATAAGTGACCTTCTCACTGAGAACCACCCAGATGTGAAGGACGTCCTGGTTCTGGTGTACATGATGGTCACCCTTTCTCCCTCCTCTGCTGCCGTGGAGCGTGGATTTTCCCTCATGAACCTCATAAAAACATCCAGAAAATCCCAGATGACCAATGAAACTCTGGGGTCACTCATGAGGGTCAGCCACATCACCACCACAGTGGCAGAGTTTGACCCAGAGCCAGCCATCCAGAAATGGAAAACATCTGCTAAGACCAAGAGGTATGTCAAAGCTGCCCCAAAGCCTGCTGCAGTGAACAGCAACTTACCTGTGCCTGTTGCCCCATAGCTCGGTGTGAGGAGAACCACTGGAGTGCTGCCCCACAGTTCGGGAGACAGCTGCAGTGAACAACCACCCTGAGCCTGAAGCCATACCTTTCTGCTAGCATGTCTACTAGTCCCACAGAGGAGAAAACATTATATTGTTAGTACTTAGTTGTTTTATCTTATTATTTTATATCTGTCATTCATTTGATGTGCCTTGATGGTAGAAGTTCAGAAACCAGACACTGTGAACAATATGAACAAATAAACAATAAAATGTTTCCTACAGTAACCTAGATTCTTGTGTGCTTTATGTTGATATGTAATCATATTTAAAATAGGTGCAGCAATGCATGCACAAAGTATAGATATGGACAAGTGAAAAATGTATTCGGACAAGCACATTTCCAAACTCACTTGTCCATGGACAAGTACTCTCTAAAAACTTTTTCTCACACTGCAGGCTTAAAATGCCTTTGACTTTCAGACCTTATTTGCTTTGACCAAAAAGCAAAAGGTGTCAAAGCACAGCTTCAGTGGAGTGCAGGCGGTCTTTGGCTTTACATTGGAACAAAGGTGTGGCTCTGTTTTTTTAATAAAAAAGTAGCATACAAACGGCCCTTTGCAGGATCAGAACTGTTTCATGTTTTTTTTTTTTAAAGTCATATACTGGATTAAACCAATTGAAAATAGTTACATTTTACAGGTTTAAGAAAGGATAGAACTTTTACATGGAAAATAAAACTGATAAAAGGGAAAGAGATCAAGAGACAGACGGGGAACTATAGAAACATTGTGGTCTCCCCCCGGAAAGAGCCATTTCCTGAGATCTACGAGGAACCGTCCAGCGGATGTTGATGTTTTGCTTTCCAGGCCTCTGTTGTTAATTTTGTGGCATTCTTGAGATAATAATAGCTGATCTGTTAAACCTTGTTTGGTTTTGTCTGTCTGTCGGTGAGCGACTCTCACTCCCGTTGTTGAAGGTTCTGCAGAGTCAGCTTGACTTGATCTATCGGAACGAACTGTTTTGTCCACAGCCTCCCAAAGTGCTTTAACCCCCCCCCCCTCTCTGTTTTCTCCTGTGGGAAATCCCTTCAACCTCCTGGCTTTTCCATCATGAAATCAAAAGAGAAGGGCACGTAGGGCTGTGGTCTGACCGGTGATGTCCCATATTTGGAGAAGATTCATCAAGCTCTGTTTCCTGCTGTGACCCGGATCTGCTCACAGGACAGGTTCAGCCAAAGTGCAGGATCCATGGCACTCTTCTCTTTATTTACGAAGACTCTTTCCTACTGAAATATGTCCTTCTGTATCACATCATCTCCTTGTGACCACCGAGGTACTAACAAACTGTGGACAGCTTCCTTCCTCTGTGGGTTTCCTATGATTTAGTAAGATGAGACACAATGGTAAACAAAGAAGCTGTACAAAAAATAGATCCTGCTTTTGGGGAAAAAGTAGCTTTGAAGGTCGGTCGATGTGAAAGAACTATGCAACAATTGCAGAAAAAACGACATTGTTAAACAATTTGAGATCACAGAGAGAAATGACCGTTAATAAGACTGTTTTCAAAGTAAATGGATGCTCAAATAATGTTCACACTGTGTTTGCATGTGTACTATGCAGGTTTTAAGTCTGTATTGTACAGCTCTGGCAGTTTTTAGGCAAATAATGAGATTTTCTCCCATTAAACCGTTTTGATGAGGCTCCCAACTGTGGGCCACAGTTACCTCGACCCGGATCCCTCTCTGTGACCTGACCTGCGACTCTGTAGTGAGACACACTCAGAGGGGACGAAGTGTGTGTGTGGAGCCAGACAGCTAGAATGGGCCAAAACCTCTCTCAGACGGGGCTTATCAAGCCCAAGAGAAATATGTTTTAC